CCCGAAGATTAAGTTAAAGAGAAAGAGAAGGTGAAGGATGTAGTCCTATTGAATGCTTCTCCGGCTGCATACTGGCCAGCTAAGGAGGAAATTGCTAACCACAAAATTTTCTTCCTTGGCCGACCTGTTAAAAATCATTGGCCCAGAAAACTTGAAGTTCTTTAATTATTCAAGGTAGGAACAATCGCATGTATTTTTTATCAACTGGGACAGCTCTGATGGAGAGGCTTCCAAAAAATGCAAAGGTGGCAGGCTGCTTTGGATTACTCTGCGATGAAGTTATAGATATATCTGTACTGGAACTCTTAATAACGTTTATTCAGTTTTTTTTAATTCCAAGACAGACAAAGTGGAAACACATTTCCTGTTTGTTGAGGACGTCTTAAAAGATTCTACTTTTGCCAATGCTGAAACCATCGTTAACATTCTAATTAGAAAGCTAGATCACTACGGTCTTCAACTTCAAAAGCTGAGCACCATAGCTTCTAATGGAGCTGCTGTTGTGGTGGGAAAATTCACCAAAGCGGATGGCCCTTTACTTGAAAGTTCAACTTGAAATCAAATCTGTCAATCTGTTAGACAAAGCCAAGAAAATTGTTGGCAAAAAGCTGAAAAAAGCGTGTCAAACAAGATGGCTTTCTTTTCATGCTGCTACCTCTGGCATTTTCATTGACTACCTTGCAGTTCAACAGACACTGAGACAGCTCAAGGATGAAGACGCTGTAGCATCTGGTCTCCTCAGCAAAGTTAACACAGCAAAATTCCTTGGAGTCATCTACATCTTGAATGCTCTCCTACCCATCCTCTCTTGCTTCGGCAAGACCTGAGGAACAGGCTGTCCATTGAGATGCTTCAGGCACTCTTGGCAATAACTATAAATGGCCCAAAGGTTGGCACTCCAGAGTGTGTCTGTCAACTCACTCATATGAGTGAGTTGGCTTTCAACTGTATTAGACTCCAGTTTATGCTTCATCATGCCCACATGCAGGTCATTTTTGTTAACCAAATTTTGTGGTTTAATCAACTAATTTGTTTCCCAAAATGGAGGAAATTACATCTCCGGTAAGCCTGTCGCGACTGTTTTTTTGTTTTTGGAGTTGCGTGACTTTTGTGATTGACAACCTCGTTTTGAAATTATGTGAGCCTCGGTTCAAATTACGTACCTCGTGGAAAATACGCATCGGTGACGTTTTGAGAGAGGAGAGATTTTGAGTTGTATACAACATTTTTTGAAGATTAAACCTTCAATTCGAGAAACTAAAGTGAGCTATTTGGTGTCTCTGGAAAACGGAATTTTGGTTCCCACACCAAAAGTGGCGACCTTGCCAGGACAGCGATACATGTGAGCGAGAGTGCAAGAATCTTGTGGGAATTGAATAACAAAGCTATCGACTAATCTAGTGACAAATTCTACAAATATGGTGGATAAAGCCAAAGCTGAGAAGAACTACGCTAAGGAGTGGAAAAAGGCGACCTACTATGTCCAGGAGATAAAAGAAAACATGAATACGGAGGTAAAAGAAGATTTGCTGTTGGCGTACAAGAAAATTTCTGGGGTTTGTAAAAGCCTTGAGAATTCGGCAGACCACATGAAGGATGCCATGATGGATGCAGAAATGAGTCTCGAAGAGGTGAGAGTTTGGGCACACGTTTGTAAAGAAGAGTTAGCACTGGTGCATGAGCTAAGGAATAAGCTCAAGCAGGCATTGGATAATTTAGAGAAAAAAAATACACAAACAAGAAGAAGACTGGTTTCATAAGAAGTTTGAGTTGGAAATGGCACTCGAAGAGAAGAAAGCTACACAAAAGATAAGCAAACCTCAAGCGTTTAAACTGCAGAAATATATGATAACACCTTTCAAGGGAGACTGTAAAGACTGGCTTCGATTTTGGAACCAGCTCGTTGTGGAAGAGGATAGCACAAACATCTCTGAGATAAGTAAATTCAATTACTTGTTAGAACTAGTTGAGGAAGAACCAAAAGAGCACATTCTTGGGCTGCCCCACACGCCTGAAGGATATCATGAAGCTAAGAAGATCCTTAAAATGACCTTTGGAAAAGACATTAAGGTTCATAAGGCCTTAATTAGGGACTCAGAAAGCTTGACAAACATAACCAGTTCCCACAAAATCAAAGAGATTCACGAGTTTTACACTAAGCTGTCTAAGACAGTCTGAACCTTAGCAACAATGAGGAAAGTAGAGGGTGGACAAATAGACCTTTTTCGCGTTGAGGTCACGTGGTCTGTAATGGGTAAACAATACCAAAAAAATGGCGTCTCAGAGTGGTGTTAGCGCACGTGGAGAAAGAAAAGATTCAGATTGGACCAAAAAACAATCTGCGTTGTGCTTTCGAAGTCAGCGAAAAAACGAGGAACCTCACAAGTTGTCTCTAAAATGTAGAAGGGGTAACAACGGAGATGCAAAAGTGTTGGAAACCTCTTGTTCCTGTAAGGCTGGGTAGGTAAAATTAAACATATCATATTCTGAGCAACGTGTAGTTGAATGGCTTTTAGTTTGTCTAACCATAATTACAGATAGGACTTATGAAAAGTTTTTCAGAGCATTAAAGGTGTCAAAATTAACGTGTTGTGAGTATTAAATGTAGGTTATTTCTTATTTCTTGTAGAGCTGGAGGCCATTGTCATCACATGTTTGCCCTGTTGTACCTGTTAACTCACTGGAGCCTTCTTAATTTAGGAGAAATCCCTGCAGATAAGACTTGCAGTAGCTTGCCTCAAGCTTGGAGTGTTCCCCGAGGGGATCGAATAGAGCCTGAACCTGTGATGAAGTGTAGCTATGCTCAAGCTGCCACTGATCAAGGTGGTAAAAGGAAAAGGCCTCCAGTAAGCTGCAAACTATATGATGCAAGGTCAAAAAGGATTAAAAAGATGGGCAGGAAACCAGAAATAGTTCTAAATATGTGGAACGAGCTTGCCAAAAGTCTCAAGCCACGCCCTTTCTTGTATTTGCTAAGTGATCAAGAGGCATCCTCACATATCAACACTGTGATTGGCAATGTACCACTTGGGTCTTACCCTGGCTATCAGCTGTTTGATAAGAAAAAATCCCAAACTGTGCAAGAATCGATCCCTTTCCTGACCTACCATTGGCTAATTTGAACAACTCATTTATCCCTCCAGTTCTTGATCAACCTCAGAATGATGTCATTAAAAAAATAACTATTCCTCATTGGCAGAATCACAACAGATAGAAAAAATAACTGTCCGTTAATCTCTGGAGCCAGAATGGTTGTTTCAAAGAAGCAAGAGACTAACAGCATCCAATTTTGGCAAAGTTTTAAAAAGAAAAAGACCTCCCACTGAATCTTTTGTGAGAGACATATTTGTTCCAAAGGATTTATCGAAGGTATCATCCATTCGTCATGGAAGATAACAAGAACTTATTGTGAGATCTCTGTACAGCAGAAAAATGCAGAAAACGTGCAAGCAGTTCATTGTTTTTGATGCTGGGCTTGTGGTGAACCCCTCTTTCCCCTGCCTTGGGGCTTCCCCAGATGGGAAGGTGTACGACCCCACTAAAAAAGACCCGTTTGGTTTACTTGAAATAAAAAAAACCTTACACATGGAGAAATCACACAATGGAGGAAGCCTGCAAGGATCCAAACTTCTGCCTTCATATGGTTAATGGAAAGCCAAAACTTAAAGAAAGTCATTCTCCACACTCAGGTTATTGTAATATTTCCTGTCATTAGTGACGGGATCCTCTTCATCACTCGACTCTGAAGGTGATTCACCAATTTCAGTGTCAGAATCAAAAAGAGAATTTGGCTCAATGCGCACCTGTTTTGTCCCTTTTGAATCCCAGCTTACAACATATGTCCTGTTCAAATAAGGCAGAAAAAACTCTAGTACCATTCTAAATCTCTTATAAGATTTAAAGCCAGTAAAATGGGAGAAGTATTTTACTTCTCTTTCTGGACAGTCACACAAGGACCTTAGAATATTTATTGAAAACCTGTGTGTGCATGGAACCTCTATGTCAACTTGTGTCGCCCTGGAAAAAAATTGTCTCGGTTTGTTTCATCAAACTTCCCTTCTCTCTCCAATGCTGTGGCTGTTATCTCAGCTTCTAGAATTTCTTGCTCTTCCTGAAGTTTTGATCTCTTTGCAGGTAAGGACCTTTCTTGCGCTTGGGAAGTCCATGAAAACACTGAAGGACCCACAAGGGTACTCCTGAGTCATCAGGTCGGTGTGACAGGTTTTATGGTGCAATGGATTCTCAAAACATGTGTACCTTGCATGTAACTGTAATTGCTAAAGTTGGAGGAGTACAAGCTCGAATCATGTTGGACAGCAGCTCAAGTTTGCTTACAGAACTGAACCTGAAGCCATACTGAACTGAAAGGAGGGTCATAGAACAAATGTATGGGATTGTGGACAAACTTGATGAGATATACAAGGTCCACGTTGAATCAAACGCCATCGAGGGCTTTGAGCTTGAGCTACGTTGCATAAATGCAGAGAAACTAGTGTTAACTCACCTCCCTAACCCAAGAATCTCGGGGTTAAGGGAGGCCAACAACCGCATAAGGAGACTACACTTCAGTGAAGAAATAGTAATGGAAGATAACTTGCCAGTCCATGTGATCCTTGCTGCTGCAAATATCCAGCGCATCAAAAAAACTGAACCAGCTGTCCTAGGAGTAGATCCAGACGTTGATCCTGGTGCAGAGTAGACCATGCTGGGTTGGGTGTTCACAGGAAAGTTAATGCCGTTAAGTACGGAGACGGAGAAGGGTTTCTTCTAAATTCAAGCCAAGGTGAATTCGAGCAGATGTGTTTGCAGGAGATCCTAGGACTGACTGATAAAGCTGACGTGCAGCAGTTTTTCCATGACGATTTCAAAGATTTGAAGAATGTTTGGATGATGGAACGTATTCAACAAGGTTGTCATGGAAATCAGATCACCCCCCTCTGCCCTGAAACAAACAACTGACTATTGGAAGGCTAAGAAGTACAACACAGAGACTAGAGAGGATGCAGCGACTTAAAGAGTACCATATGGTTAGGACAGAACAATTAGCAGAAGGAAGCTCGGAAGAGGTGCCCGAAACACCTATGGGGGAGGTCATCCATTATATTCCTCATCAACCAGTGATCCAAGGCCAGGCCGACTCAACAAAGATGAGGATAGTTTATGATTGTTCAGCAAAGACACATTGTCAAGTACCTTCCTTGAACGACTGTTTGAAAGTAGGACCCCCTTTACAACCCACGTTATTTGACCTCCTTGAAAATCGCATGAAGATGTTGTGTATCACCGGAGATATTCAAAAGGCCTTTCTTCAAATTAAAGTGGACCTAAGAGATAGAGATGCCTTTCGCCTTCTATGGTATGAGAACCTCGACTCAAGAATGGTGAGGCAGTATTGTTTCACCAGAGTGATTTTTGGGTCAGGACCAAGCTCATATATTCTTGGGGCCACACTTCAAAAACATGTGAGCCAGTATGCTGATAAGTACCCCAGTACTGCTGATGAGTTGCTAAAAAACACCTATGTTCAATCAGGTGGTGATTGTGTAGAAGAGCTGATCAATTTCAAAAAGGAGGCCACGTGAATAATGGAAGAAGGTGGGTTTCACCTGCACAAGTGGCACAGCAACATTCCAGAGTTAAAAGAACCACAGCGAATTGATGATGAAACCCTACTATCACAAGCAAGCTCGACCTATGCAAAGTTAGTGGTTGGAACCCATTCCCAAGAAACAAAGATACTTGGAGTCCCTTGGAACAAGGCAGAGGACACAATCTCAGTTGGTTTCCTAAAGCCATTGGGAACAATGAGTGACGGTCCCCGTACTAAGAGAAAGATGTTATCAGCCATTAATGGTGTTTATGACTTGTTGGGACTTGCAGCACCAGTGACCATCACGGGAAGGATCCTGCACAGTGAGGTTTGCTTAAGGAAGCTGAGGTGGGACCAAGTGGTACCAGGCGAGATACAAAGATCTTGGAACAACTGGCTGAAGGGAATGGAGAAGTGTCCATCAATAAATGTTCCGCACAGTGTTGTGAGTAAAGATGTGAGAAGAATTGACCTTCATGGTTTTGCTGATGCAAGCAAGCTAGCAGTTTCAGCAGCCTTTTACGCACTTGTATTTCATCATGTTGCTCCAGTTCACTAGAGCCTGCTTGTTTCAAAGTCAAGAATAGCACCAAAACACCTGTCAATCCCACGGTTGGAGCTTATTGCAGCACACACCTTGAGCAAATCGATGAATCATATGAAGCAAGTAATGGAAGGTCAGCTAGTTGAAGAGTATCACTGCTGGGTCGATAGTCCTACAGTGCTGTACTGGATTAAAGGTCATGGGACGTGGTCACAGTTTGTTCTAAATCGTACTGAAGTGAAGACAAGCAATACCTGAAGTAGCACCATGTCCCAATGAAAGACAAACCCAGTGACCAAGGAAGTAGAGGCACAGAACCCTGTAAGATGGGAGAGCTTTGGTTTAAAGGACCAGACTGGCGAAGTTGTCCGGGAAAATGGCCACAACAACCTGAGGTGTTGGAAACCGTAGAAACAGCAAAAGAGAGTGTGAAGCCTAAGTTCGAGAAACAGCTTCTTGCCAAATAAGAGAAGAAAAATCCAATTGTGGACCAGCTTCTTAACAAGTATGCATCCTATCAGAAGCTTCTGAGGATAACTGCCATTGTGAGACGATTTATTGGCAACTGCAAGAAGGAAGCGAAACAGAAGGGACCATTGACAACAGAAGAAACACAAGCAGCAGAGAAGTACTGGATTCACCACGCCCAGGCATCTCAGGATGTCAAGTCAGATGTGGCACTGAAGAAGGATGACGATGGAATATTGAGATGTGTCAGAAGTGTGAAGGATTACAACCCAATCTTTCTTCCCTGAAGTTGCAAGCTAGCTTTCCTTATTGTTAAACAACTCCACAAGCAGATGATGCATGGGGGAGTCTCAATAACTTTATGTCGCATGTAACGCTATCGGAGGAAGCCATTGTCCACTTCACCTATCTTGGAGACTAGATTGCCACTTTTCAGAACCAAACTATCAGACCCTTTTGTCGTGACGGGAGTAGATTTTGCAGGACCAGTGTACTTTAAGATTATAAAGTCAAATACAGCAAAGGCATACATCGCACTGTTCACTTGTGCTAGCACTAGAGCAGTCCATTTGAAGCTATGTCGCAATCTGTCTGCCATAGAATTTCAGAGAGCCTTAAAGAATTTACTGCCAGGCGAGGATGTCCCCAGACCATTGTGAGTGATAACGGCAAAACATTCGTGGCTACTGGAAATCCCTCATCAAAAGGGACCACAGCTTGGCAAATTCATGGGGATGCTGAACCTTAAGTGGAAGTTTAACTTGACCCGGGCCCCTTGGTGGGGAGGCTTCTTTGAGCACCTGATTGGCATTATGAAAAGGTGTCTGTCGGAAGTGATTGACCGAAGTCTGCTCAGCTGTGAAGAGTTGGAAGAAGTCCTGTTAGACAGTGAAATCTGCGTGAACAACAGGCCATTGTGTTAGCAGGGAGAGGAATTTGAGCAACCAGTGCTCACCCCAAACACGTTACTTAGAGGAAGGCCAAACCCAATCTTAGAGGGGGATGTTGAGAAGATTGGAGAGGAAGAAGTAACCAGATGAATGAGGTTTCTGCAGAAAAGCAAAGAGCATCTTCGAAAGAGATTCGTGAAGGAGTATGTGCACGCCCTTGAAGAAAGACAGCGGCCACCCACCAGTAACATTGCCGAGATCCTGAACACAGGAGCGCTGGTGTTGCTTAAAGATGAAATTTAAAGATTTAACTTAAATGGGGGGAGGGTGTCGTGACTGTTTTTTTTTTGAGTTGTGTGACTTTTGTGATTGACAACCTCGTTTTGAAATCATGTGAGCCTCAGTTCAAATTACGTACCTCGTGGAAAATATGCATCGGTGACGTTTTGAGAGAGGAGAGATTTTGAGTTGTGTACAACATTTTGTGAAGATTAAACCTTCAATTCGAGAACCTAAAGTGAGTTATTTGGTGTCTCTGGAAAACGGAATTTTGGTTCCCACAAGCCAGAATTTTAAAAAACTAGACCAGCTTAGTTCCTCGACACTTTGGCCCCGGTGCAGTCCATCAGACTGCAGACTTAGCTGCCTGGTTACAAATTTCTACCTATTAACGTTTCTACTGAGAACCCTGCATGCCGTTTGGTTTTCATTCACAGTCTGATGGCATAACTGCTGCTGCAGATGAGAGGGGACAAAAGAAAAATCCCAAGACATGCCACATTGACCTTTCTGTTAGCAACAAGGAACGTGATAAGGTGAATTTTAAAATTATTATTAGATACAAAGAAACACATTACAGGAATTTCTCTTCTATCACACATATCAGAAACGTAGTTAACATGTGTAATTCAAATATGTCCAGTCCTTATATAAGCTTAGAATAAGAAGAATGACTTTATTGGATAACACGATTACTGGTAGAACCCGTAGTTCTCATTGTGGTCCACTAAAACTTCAAATTCAAATGGCAAAAATACGAAGTAAAAATACAGTTAAAAATTAAAATTAACAAAAGTTAGAAGAAGAAGAAAGACTTTATTTATTGAGGATAGCACGTGATAGTGCACAAACACTAATAAACTTGTGGTCCTCCTAATTACAATAAATATATAAATACAATAGAATCATTAATAGAATGAAATATAAATAGAAAATTAGCTAAAACAAGTAAGAATATATAAAACTACTATCAATAAAATTTACGGATTAAAATGAGCTAAGCATGATTGGTCCTTATAGTAATATTTAAATACGTTGTCTTTAAAGGCCTTAAGTGTATTAGACTTTTTTAATTCAGGCTTTAACTGATTCCATAATTTTATGGCAGAAACTAGAAAAGTTTTCCCTCCTTCTCTAGCCCTTTTAAACTTAGGTAATAAAAAGTTGTATTTACAAAATCTAGTGTTGCGTGAATGTACTGAACTTAATATATAATCTTAAGCTATCATTAAGATAATTAGGTACACAATAATTAATCCTTTTAAATAGTATTGAACATTTAGCCATCTTAGTAGAGTCATAAAATGGTATCCACTTTAAACGATTGAATAGCATAACTGATGAACTACGTGGTTCAGCATCTAATAAAACCCTAGCAGCTCTCTTTTGTAGCCTAAGTATTCTTAAAAGAGATTCATTAGAGCAAAGTGACTGCCATGCAACATTGGCATAATCAAATAATGGCTTAATTAAACTATTATAAAATAAAAGTCTTTGGTTAAATGGTAAACAAAGTTTGATCTTATTCAAAATTCCAATTCTTTGTGAAATTTTTTTACACAGTCTGTCAACATAAGTGTTCATTGATAAATCGTTGATAAATCATTGATAAATCGTTAGTTGCAAACTGCGTGTGGATACTGGTGGTGAACATTGAAAGCATTGAAAGAATTTATTAGAAAATCGTCGGGACAGAAACGCTATAGTTAATGAGCCAAAAAAGAAGTAAAACAAGACTACCAAAGTAAATACCAACATTTTTATTGGTGAACTCAAATACAGTTGATTGCAATACTGATCGTTTTTAGTGTTAACAAAAAGTTTTTTAGAAATTGATGTGTGAGTTCTTACAAGTTGCTTAAAAGCAGTGTTCTCAACATTTTACAAGATACAAAATACACAGTTAAAAGTAACAAGTGAAACAATGAAATCAGTTTAGCCATATCTGTAACAGGATATTTGAGATGTAGTAATTAAGGGAAGTATAACATGTGGTATTAAAAACAAAAACAAAGAGATGTTGCTGTTGAAATGGTATGATTTTAACCTTGCCTTGGGTAACTTACTAAATAACACAACTGAATATTTCCTTAGTACTCATGTTCCTGTAAGGGAGTTAAAAAAATTAACAAGAGAAGAGAAATTGTATAACACAACTACAATATTGACGGAAGGTAGTGCTCTTAAACCATTTGTGTGGTTTCGTAGGTTTTAAAATTTTTATGCCTTCCCTGGAACATAATTTTGTTTAAGTCTTGTAATTACTTACTGATTAGGTTGTTTATAGTGTCATTAGCAAGTAAACTTTACTATCTTTTTGTTTGGCAGGGCTTGAATGAGAGTTTAAGAAAAGGAGAGGTAATGTTCATACATCTAAATATGACTTAATAAGGGGAGGAACTTTGAAATTACTGAAGTTGTTGGTCTGGTATATTGTATGTTTTCTTCCCCTGTCTGTAACATAATTTTCTTCAAGCCTTATAATGGGATATCAGATGTCATCTGAGAGTCTGTTGTTATTAGAAAGCTGCTTATAGCATCATTAAAGCAAGTAAACTTGTGAATTTTTTATCCGCCCTGGACTAAACGAAAATTTGAGCAAATAGATAACTCTTGTATTGCAAATGCTTGGAAGAGCAGTTATGTTGCACTTGCTACAAGTTATAGTTTTCCTTTAATCTGTGATTCACTATTGGCTATACATGTATTTTAAATCTAAATATCACTGCAAGGGGAGGAACTGTGAATTTACTTGGGTTGTTTTGCATGCTATAATTTTCTTATTCCCTGCCTGCTACATGATTTTCTGTAAGTCTTCAAGTGGGATATCAAATAACAACATCTGGGAGTCGGTTCCTTTGAGGAAGCTGCTAAAAGCTGAGGAAGGTACAAATACCAGCAAACCAAAGAATTCTAATATTTTGGTTCTTTTGACAATCATGTGATAGCTCTTAGCAGTAAAGCAGAAACGAGGTAAAGTATTCAAACATAACTCATGCCAATTTTTAGGTTTCTTTTAAAAATATAGAAAAAATCTAAACAATATTCAGTGACACCAAATAGCTTCTACTGAAGTTGCGCAGCGTTTCATTGTAAGATATCATTTCGGATTATAAAAATTCCTGGTCCCTACTTAGAGGATAAAAAAAACAAAACGCAGAAACTAGCTCAATGGGTTAAACTGGTCAAAATGGTCAAACACGCTGAACTGGTTCAACGGCTTATAATTGTCAAACTAGTTGAAATGGCTCAAACCGACAAAACACATAAACTAGCTTATCGGTCAAATGAACTGAAATGGTTCGTGTTTAATAATTAAGGTCATACTATCTGAAATAAATCAAACCGACAAAACAAAAAAAACTAGCTGAATTGGCTTAAGTGGTTAAAATACTGTAAAATTCCGAAAATATTTTTAAAAGGACCTTTTTGAGGGGCTTATTTTTTTAAGGGGCTTATTTACAGGAGGGACATTTGCGTTTCAAAATTGACTGGGCTTATAATTGGAGGGAAATTTGTGTCGAAATTTTTGAATGTCCAACTGGTAATATGAGGGTTTTAGCTAAAAATTCGTCAATCACACCGAAAATGCCAAGTTCAAACACAACGGCAATAAAATATATTAGAACGGAAATACAGTAAAAACAGTAAAGTAGTTCAGGCTCAAAGTTCATAATAACTATGAAAGCTCATATCGCTTGAGGAGCACCAGAGGGAGTTTGGGTTCAGGGTGGCGGGATCGAACTTCCTTGCAAATACTTTGTCAACAAGCCGAAGGAATTCAAAGTGCGAGTGAAGAGCGAACTGCGTGAAAGACAATAACCTTCAACACTTGTTGACCACATTGCTTTAGTGCACAGAATCATTCTTTTATGACTAAAAAAGGCTTCCTAATAATGGTGATTATGTGTAGTTTGCTTTGGTTTGTATAATTGAGGATAATTTCCAAATACAAGCCCCTGGAGGCTTATATTCGGAGGGGCTTATTATAAGAGGTATTTCTTGCGTTCCAGATTAGGGGGGGGCTTCTATATGGAGGGGATTATACATGGAGAGGCTTAATTTCAGAATTTTACGGTAGTCAAATTAGCTAATATTGTTTAAACCAACAAAATGCAGAAACAAGCGAAATTCGTTGAACTGTATAAAATGGTCAAACAAGATGAAATGATTCAACTGGATAACAAGCAAAAATTAGCTGAATTGGCTCGACTGGGTAAAATGGTTAAACTAACTGAAATGTTTCAACTGGTTAAAATAACTGGAATGGTTCAACTGAGCAAACAAAATAGCTAGATTGGTTTCAATTAGTCATTAAAATAGTCAAACTTGTGAGAATGGTTTAAATAAACAAAATGCACAAACAAGCTCAATTAGTTCAAATGGTCTGATTGGTCAAACTAGGTCATGGTTAAAGTTGGCAAAACGCACAAACTTGCTAAATTGGTGATATTGGACAAAATGGTCAAACGAGATAAAATGATTTATCTGGATAACACGCCAAAACTAGCTGAATTGCTTTCACTGGATAAAATGGTCACACAAGGTAATATGATTCAAGTAGTTTAAACATACAAACTAGCCGAATTGGTTAAATTCGTTGAAATAGTCAAACTTGCAAAAATGGTTTAAATGGACAAAACGCACAAACTAGCTAAATTAGTGTTACTGGTTTGATTGGTCAAACCAGATGAAATAGTTGTGTTACGGGAAAATTTACTGATTTTTCCATGCGTTTGTTGCATATCAGTACTTTTGATCATCATTACTAGTGAAATTTCAGGGAAATATAAGTGATGATGGTCTTTCTGGAAAAATTGGTTCTCATGGTAGTTGGCAGCTGCGTTTCATAATTTCAATTTCCTTTCATACGATAGTTTCCACACCAACCTTGCATTGAAAAGCAGAAATTTTAAATTGCTTTTCCACTTTTATTTCCTAAGCTGCCCCACTGTAATTAAGATAGATATATTTTCTATACCAGAGCTGTGAATTCTCACCTAACTTTCCTATTTTTAATGGTGTTCTGATCCTTTGGACCCTGATCCATAAGTTTGCTCACCGTAACAAAAGAGACGTAAATCCTTCATCAGTCAGTGTAACCAGATTTATTCGAAGTAAATTTTCACGGTGAAACGAGAAAGGGTTTTCACCAGCGAGCACGACAATACAATGACAATCCCTAAATCACATGGAAAATCAATACCATGATACCTTGCTACAATGCTAAACTGTGTGGTAACGCTAGACGCGTGACACGCGTGACAGAACAAATGGCGTCGATTTTATTGTATCCGTCCTTTTAATTTAGAGATTCTTTTCGTTGTAGACAGATGGAATATTTAAGTAGTTTTCGTTTAACTTCAGAGAGACTTTTTTCCGCTCCTTTGTGTCCTTATTAAATATTGTAATTTGTGTAACTATGGAACCTCACACCAGTTCATATTTAAGCAAGTACTTTGTAAAGCTTTTTCGATATAGGGACGACGGCGTGACGATTACAAGTTTAGCTTTTACTCTGGCACGATGTATGTTAGAGTGCTCTACGAATGACAGTCTGCTGTGGAACCAAAACGCTGTCTCATCCTTGACGTCCGTAAAAGCTCGCTCCAAGTAGATCTCTGTGTGTCAGGAAATCGTGATGAGTTTCTGTTCTCGCAAGCCGAGTGGTCTATACCGAGTTATTTTATTAAATTAATATTTGATGTTTATAACGACAGTGCACCTTCTAACATCACAAAACTTTTTACGAGAACTTCTAACATCCATACATATAATACTCGCTCATCAACGTCACAATTCTTTAGCGTTAAGTACTCTTGGCTTAAAATGCAAAAAAAGCCTTTTCGCGTGTTGGTGTCAAAGTCTGGAATGAGATGCCTGATGAATATAAAAATTTGTCAAAGAAATCCTTCAAAAAAGAAACAAAAAGAGCTCTTCTCAATATTCTAGAAACTGAAGATTCATATATGGACCCTGATGAGATAATGCTAAAAATCAAACATAGCAAAATTGAATCAAATTAAACCAGTTCTACAATATTTTTCGTACACTTAGAAACGCTAGGGCTTTTTCTCCTTTGCAATGAACATCTGCCATTTTCCTTTTTTTCTTTTTTTTTTGCGTATCTTTTTGTCCTGTTATGTTATATTTCTTCATTTCCGTCCTATTTCTGGTGTAATTAAATGAAGTCAGTAAAAAATAAATAAATAAATAATCAAATTTGACCCGCCTCGATTAGCATTTGCCATCCGCGGGTCAAAGGAATACCTTGTAATATGTAAGAAAATGAAAAATAAAAGTTTGTGTAAGTGTGTGTGTATTTTCCCCGTTTTGTGCGTTTCCCGCGAAGTCCAGTTTAATGCGCGAAAACCTATCGTCACAGTGGAACTTGGCTAGACGCAAAAACTTGCTTAATTGGCTTGACTGGTTAAAATCAGCAAACGAGCCCTTGTAAGCTCTTTCTTGTAACATCCGTTTACAGCTTGTTTCTGTTATTATTCACATCCATTGGAAGTGAATTAAACTTAGGAACAGGAATGTGTTATATATGCCGCTCAATGTTAGTTGTAAACATTCCTGGAGAACTCTCAGCTAGAGACGAAACGCGTCGAAAGAAATGAACAAAAAGTTACAAAAACAACAAGTGTTCCTTTGTGCTGCTCACTTGTCTCCGTTAAAAAGAATAAAAAAGACAAATCTTGAACATTTCCGGAACGTGGAAGAAGAGTTTCATTCAGGAAACCAGATGACGACCTCCCATAATGCGCGACAACACTTTGCACTTAGTCACGCTCACTCCAGAACCGATGGGCCTGAGGTCACAGTGATACACACTGGACAAAATCTAAAGTCAAATACTTTTCGGCATGGACTAAAAAATATCTCTTTAAGCAGGGGGACTCGATAATGGTTGAGAGGAAAAAATTCTAAATTTCGGCAGCAGCTGGACAGCAAGGGCGAAGTTGTTACTTTCGGTCGAGTGAGCGTCAAAAAAATTTGTGGAAAATTTGGTTTTGCACAATACATCGTTTAATTTCTTATTTAGGATTCTTTACCTAAGAGGAATGTATTAAGAGAAAAAAAAATGAAGGAGAAAAATTAGGCGTCAGTTACCCTTTAACCGGAAAAAACGCGTAAACTAGCTGAATTGGTTCAACTGGACAAACCAAAAAACAATTAAAAAAATAAATACATAAAAATGACAGTAAGGGACTTGTCAGAAATTAGCAGGGGGGAGGGGGGTGGAAACAGAGGGGGGTCACAACTTTTTGAGCCTCAGAAAAGGGAGGGGTCATGAAAAATGGGCAGTTTAAAGGGGGAGGGTCATGCAAATATATGCCCGTGATCATGTAGAGGTTCACCCACAGAAGAAAAAGGAAGTTCTTTATTTGGCAAAAAAAAGAGAAAAATACAACGGTTTACGGAACGTTATGGATATAAACTGTGAAGTACTATAGCAAGAATTTAACAAACATGTACTTTTCATTTATAACAATGCTATATAGTCTCATTGAAATTATGAATAATGTTATTAATAATGTTAGTAGAGTTCTGGCTATCTTATTCATCACTGTCTTCAGCATCACCATCAATGCTGCTATGAGAATCTTGATCATCATCATTTATCTCATCAGCATTGATACAATCACTTTCATCATCATCATGATTCTCATTTAAGTTGAAGCGTAGATATTGCTTGATAATGTCCTGTGATTCTTTGGTGAACAATCCCTTTTCAAAGGCATATTGGATATATGGCCTTTGTGTTTTGAGGAGCCCACTTATTCCTTCATAATGAAGAGATAATGGGCCAATAGGCTCTGTAACATCATGCAACTCTTGCTGAGGTGCAATGGTTTCAACAACTCTTTTGCAGTTAGCTTCCATTCTTGTTGCCCTAGCTTTCTTTGCTTTCCTTTTATTTTGTTTTTGTTTCCTTTTTTTACTTGTTGGCTTGGAATACTGCACCTTAAAGAGCCTGGAACATTTTTCTTTCAATTCTGTAAGGCTGTTGTTAATATCACGTACTGACGCACCCTAGTGTATTGCAAGAACTAGATTTTATCATTTATACAAGAGGGGGAGGGTCATGATATTTTAGGCCAAGCTCAAGGGGAGGGTTAGCAAATTTCACTCCCATTGCAGGGATGGGTCACCTAATTTCCGAACCCAAATTTAAAATTCCCACCCCCCCTCCCCCCCTGTTAATTTCTGACAAGTCCCTAAACAATGACCGAACAGCTTCGACTGAGTTTGTAACCAAGCGCAGCGCCTCGTTGAAAGTTATCATTTGTGATGATAACATTCCTGGTCAAAATGGGCACTGCAAATGCAAACGTGGAGGATAGGCGGGGTTTCCTACATACGCACATGGCAGGAGTTGGAGAGAAGGCATTCTTTCCAAATCACGTGGAAGGTTAATTCCGCCAGCTACGCAGGCTACTCCAGGACACAATGAATAGTTTTATATTGTCTGGTAATATGCTTCATGTAATCAATAGTATCTGAGTGGCCGCAGTCGCACTTCCCTTGTGGAATTCAAACGTTAAAGAAGTTATGTAAAATATGTATGTTTGCTATTAAACCGAAAGTAATGCCAAGCTTTACTTTTGAATTCTAGCCCCTGGAATGAAGGCCTGTCTCAGACCTTTAGATATTTCCCTAACAAAGGTCTTTTAACAAGCTCGTTCTAAGGAGTCTTATAACTTCTTCTTTGATGAAATCTTTGTCTAACCCCCATAGGGTGCCGCTTTTATTTAAATGTTTTGGTTCGCTTGAAGCTTAAGTGCCTTAAAAGGTTATTTCTGTGCTCAAGCTCGCAAGTGCAAAATTAAACAATTAAAGACATTCTCCCTTTTATAATCGCACAACCATTCGGTAGGTTTGGATCAGGCATCTACAGATGTTGATGGATATCAAATATTTCTGAGGAGGACACTGAGGTTTGCGATGTTAATAATGCGGTATTGCAGTGAAGAACAATTTGCATTGTGGTGTTGCAGTGATCTCAAACCTTACAGTTGTAATTTCATACAGACGGTGTTCTGAAAAATACACCATTTGTGGAGTTAATTTCTTAACCCTTTTAAAAACTAGATTTTGATAACCCGTGGTTAATTGTCTAACAAAATAGCAATACTTAAAAGATAAAACGGTAAAAACGAACGATAAAATCCGACGTTTCGGAGTAGTCATGACTCCATTACCAAGGTAAAAGTTTAAAACATGCAAATAACAGTATTTAAGCGATGTGGCGCGAAAAATTAACATAATAGGTGCGAAGATTATACAAATACTTTCCCACGAATAGAGTCCGATTGCACGTTCAGGTTTGGCTTTAAAGTTCTTATATGAAGCATTTCGTACAATAAGCAGTCAAATTTGTTCCTGCACTTCTTAAGAACTTCGAAGCATTTCAGTAGGTCCTGAGGGATCGTCCCGTGTACGTTCTTGCAATGTTTGGCAATGGCTGAGGACTGTTGTTTATGTCCTTTTACACGATTGTGTAAATGTCCGCGTGTGTATCCTATATAACCTGCATCGCACAGGTCACATTGGTATTTATAAACAACACACTGTTCATTTACGATCGATGGCTTTGCTTCTTTCACATTCAGTTCTTGATCGATTTTTCGGCTGACAAATACGGGCTGGATGTTGGTGTTCACTTTTAGGCTCAGATCCTTGAGTTGTCCTTTCACAAAATTTGCTGAGGTTTGGTCTTTAAATGGTAGAACCACTGGAATTGTGTCATCCATCTCTTTAGTTGGTAATAATGGTCGCTGCTGGTCACAAACCTTAAAGTCAACGAAATTTTTGGTGGCAGAGTCGATGAGGTGTTTGGGGTACTTTAAACGCGAGAATACTGTCTTCAATCGGTCACATTCGTCTGAGAAGTGTGACCAAGAAGAAGATAAACGATGTGCTCGGCCCAGCATAGTTCGGAGTAAACCCTGTTTGTACCGATTGTCAACGTGACTTTGGTAATGTAAGAGGAGACTTGAATTCGTGGGTTTTACGTACACCTTTGTCTCTATGTGGGGCGATCGGTTCAGTAACTGGATGCCCAAAAAAGGGAGCATGCCATTGCATTCGGTTTCCATCGTAAATTTTACGGAAGAATGTGCCTTGTTAAGAGTGTCCAGGAAGTTAGATGCTGTTGCGATATTTGGCATGATAGTAAGTGTATCATCAACGTACCTTCGATAGAAGGAAGGAAGTTTACCCTCTCGCTCGATTTGCGAGATTTGCAATTCAGCCCATCACACAGAACGACCATGTTTTAACCGACCGTGTTTTTCAAGCCTTTACTGCAACAGACTGGTTCAACTGTCTACAAACCTGTCATGATGATCCAAGATGCATCTCGTACAACTACCAGAGATCGGCAGAATCCAACGGTCTGTGTGAATTGAATGACTGTGGAGTTGAAGACTTTTGCGACAGAGAAGGGTCTATCTTTCACTCCCCAGGATTTGTGTTTCAGCAGATAAGGACGAGTAAAATAAAAACGATTATAAAGAAGGTTAACGGGTGTTTATCTTCCCACGGTAAAAACAGTTGCATTTCGGATAGATCAGTTCCCAGGACTTCTCCAAAAAGTGTCACGATGGTAAACAAAACGTACAAGAGCATTTTTATCACATGGGATGCTGTGCCAACGAATCAGACAAAATTTTTTTTTATTAGGGGCGTCAGTGGTCCAGTGGTTAGTGCGCTGGACTCTGGGTCGAAGGGCCCGGGTTCAAGTCCTACCAGGGGCATGTCGCTGTATCCTTAAGCAAGATGCTTTACCCACTTTGCTTCGTCTCTCGGATAAGACGTAAAGCCGGAGGTCCCGTCTCACAACCCTTCTATATTACAAAATAAATTGTGGGACGTAAAAGAACGCACGCACTGTTCGCAAAGAGTAGGGCACGTAGTGCCCGGTGTTGTGGTCTATCTCGATTTGTGCCGTCGTAGGTCTGGGTGGGTGAGGTGTGATCACAATGGACTGAAGCGGCTGCCAGAGGCGCCTTTAATATGCTGACGTCCGATCTCACCTCTCTGGTTCCTCTGCAATTCAGCCCTTGGCTGCAAGTGAGGAAATTGGCACCATTCATCTATCTATCTATCTATCGAGGTTTTCTTCAATTGAAGACATGAACACATTAGCTAGCAGGGGACCAAGGGGGAAACCCATGGCCATGCCATCCGTCTGTTCGTAAAGTGCTCCATTATACTGGAAGAGTTGTCCTTTTGTAGCTACACTGAGAAGGTCAACAAGATCCGTTTTGGTCAGGTTCAGGTCATAGGTTGAATTAAACCAGTCGTTGTCAAAAGCTCTGTTCGCGAGTATCTCAATTGTTTCATCCAAGGGTATGTTGGTAAAGAGGGAGGACACGTCGTAAGAAACCAGAATGTCGCCGTTTGATATTTCCAATTCGCGAATTTCGTCGGCAAATTAAAAAATGTCAGTTACTGTGTAGCGATTCAAAGAGAGAGGCTTAAGTCATTAAGTCGAGCCATTTCGCCAGTGCATAGTTGTAAGTTTGCATTGCTGATAGTATAGGGCGCATCGCCAAGCGCTCCTTGTGTGTTTTCGGTAAGCCGTACAAATGCGCTAATCTGGAACCTGTAGGAGGAACAGGAACAGGAGTTCATAAGACGATCGTAGGGTTGCGGCCGCCAATTCTTTCAAATCATCGCTTTCAAGATGAGGTTCAAGGCTCCAGTAAGCCTTTTCAAAGCTCGCTTTCACTTCAATCGGTGACACTCGTTGCGGAAAGGCAAATTTCAAACCCCGACACAAAACCAGTTTCTGGAAGAAAGAGAGTTCATAAGACGATATGTTGTGAATATGCTCATCAACATCCGTTTCTTTGTAGAGTAACCTAGCGATCTTCTTTGTGTGAGTGCTCCTTACCTCCTGATAGTACTTGTTTCCGAGATTGACCATTGTGCGTAGGATGCAAGTGTAACGGAACAAGCTGCAGCTTCGACGAATTTCATCGTAGATGGAGTTGATCTCGCACTTAAGAGATGCACTTTGTTTGATCTTTTCCTTTAGCTCTTCAGAAACTACATTCCTTTCGAAGGCTACCGATGACTGCTTCCATTTAGAACTCCTTTCTTTGTCAATCTTGGCGAAAGTTGGAGTAAGTATTTGTATAATCTTCGCACCTATTATGTTAATTTTTCGCGCCACATCGCTTAAATACTGTTATTTGCATGTTTTAAACTTTTACCTTGATAATGGAGTCATGACTACTCCGAAACGTCGGATTTTATCGTTCGTTTTTACCGTTTTATCTTTTAAAATAGCAATACGTTTGATATAATCTTTAATAAACATTAGCCGATTGACCCGTGGCCGTGTTCGTTTATATTTTAATTGACCTCCGGACCTCTACCACATGCACTTTCGGCCAGTCAAAGACCAGTGAGTGGTAAAGATAATTGAGACCAGCCCAGGTAAATCCTGAGTCTTCTTCTATATCGCGGTGTCGGTGTGTTGACAGTATTTCTTGTTCTATTTGTTTGCGGTGTTATGGTATTCAGAACTCCCCATGTCCTCCTCAATTCTGTCCGGGGAGCATTATTAGATGGGTTGACAAGTATGAAACAGACAAGGCATCAAGAGAGGATGATAATGGCGTGTGGTAGTTTTTTCAATGCCTTTGACATCCAAGACGATCCCACAGGTTTGGAAGCAAGCAATTAAAATATTTTATGTGTGAAGGAATCATCATCGAATTCGCTATTCCATTTCCTATCAAAACTCACACGGCGGTACAGGAAGGTAGGCGACGGGACTCCTGGATTTATCCCTAAACGCTTTACTCCCTTGGAGCACACCCTAGGGTACCAGTAGCAATGGACCTTTGGAATGGATCTTTAAAAGGGTTTGTCACAGTGCCAACCAAAGAGATTTTAGTTTGTCATGGCCTCACCGGTGAAGTCTCTATCTATTAGGACAGACTCGTCTGGAAAAAGGTCACTACATTTAAAGAAGGGCCAGAACGTGTACCGTTCCATTTCCAATTTCCATTTTTACATTGATTGCTTCGTGGAGTTTCCCGCGCCACTGAAAAGGTACAATGGTTACCTATTACATGTACAAAGGACGTGAGCATGTAAGTTGTTTCACTTTCTTTTTCAAATTTTCATATCAGTATAATGACGAATTTATTTAGGATGAATTAATCTAGAAGTGTGTGTTTTTATGTGTCGCAAGGGCTTCACTGACACTTCTCAAAAATGACGCTTAATATTGAAATGAACTAGAAACTTCGTGCAACATTTTTTGATGACGCGACACATGGAAGGAGTTAAGAGTCTAAAGAAAACAGATCGGTTTCTTTGCAGTTGAATGTTTCTGATATCGGATAACTATGCTAAGGGTTAGCAATCACAAATATATCTCGTATTATTGTTTCAGTGCGTGTTCGCAGTTAGATAATCAGTACGCTTTTTTGACGCCTTAACCCACCTCTGTTAGAGAAGTCAATCACCAAGACTGCAAGTAACAATCGGCCATCGGACATTTTCCCGCTAAATTTGAGGTTTTGCCCAGCAAAACACTATTATAGTATATTAATCTGATCGGGCAATTTTGATCCTGTGCCTATTCAGTGCCCGCGTATCTTGATGATCGGGTGTGATTAATGCGCAGAAACGGCATGTCAATGAAACCCATGGCAAAGAACTAAGATTAAAAAAAATAATAATAAAAAATAGAGGAGAGCTCAGTGAAGACTGCCGCTCACGGTTTTACTTGATGGAAATTTACGGCTAGTGATATGCTGCTACTCTCGAGAAGATGATTTTGATGTCCTTGCAATTGAGGTAGTAGAGTATTATACATTATACATATTGTATGTATGGTCAAACAGTTAGTTTTGTTTTCCCGTGAGTCCTGATGTTTTCTGGGACAAAATTGCAGTGCTCGTTTTGTTGAGTGAAAGTCTAAGTCTATAACAATCACTGTTGTAAATATGTGTGAAAAAAATACAAAGCACAATAGTGGCATATGTGCGAACAGTGAATTTAACGCCACTCCCCGGTTCACGAATTTTCGTGTTTAAAGTCTTCAGTAAAGCGAAATAATACAAAATGTTCCATCGTTTTTTAGAACAATTAAAAAGCAATTAAAAAAATGAGAACCCGATGTATGAAAAGTGTTCCACTTTGTTTTGAACCGCACAAAAATTTACCTTTGGAAAGGAAAGTAAATTGAATGAAAGATTGTTATCTTTTTGATCGAGCTCTCAACTGGTTATTATGACGTGACTGATTTCTTCCCGGCCAGCACATGTTCCACTTAAATTGGACTTGCGTTAATGCCCTGGTGACAATTTACATGCCCTCCTGGTTGTTCGTCGAATGAAGTTTAAAATAATCGGAGTCGGCTTTTCCTGGAAAAAATAAATAATCGCCCTGATTATTTGCTGAGGAAATCTATTAGACTATTATATATGATACGACTATTAACATTTACTGATATGACTATTAGATATTTTCATTAAATATAATAATATAATTATGATGATTGTTACTTTTATTATTGTGAAAAATAATGTAATAATCAATGTAATCAAACTTCTGCCAGGGATTTACTCCTTCGAGAGTACCTCAAGTCGACGCCGCTAGTATCCGAAATCGAACTCCCTTTGAAAACTTTCAACTGGTTGTAATTTATGAGAGCTGCAAAAAAGTTCACCAAAAATAACTTCTAGCAGTTTCTCTGTCTGCTTTCTGGCGCAGTGTCGGCATTTCATTACGAGAAAGTTCTCCCGATAATTGGTAAGTAAATAAAGAATTTATGTGCTTCAAAGATTGCATACTCTGCGAGCAGGCTACTTTTCGGTGTTTTGTTTTAAATGACGGTGTAGATTAATGAAAGAGCCTAAATGGTGCGCTTTCCTTTCTTCCCCCGCTTATTCTGATATCAGTCAATATTTTCGGAACTATTTAAACCACTCTGAATGCAGATATATTTGTCAGTCATTTGGGCGCAAACTGCTGCCGAATTTCAACGGATGAGCTTTCACTTCTGCTAGATATCGAGAAGAACGGGATACAGCCACTTTTTTCTCAAAACCGAGGGCTTTAGGCATCTTGCAAAGTGTATACACTCTGGTTTACACGCGACAGCAGATCAAGCTGATGCTATTGCCAAACTGTGCTAGAACCTGGTGCGAAAAAACTTAGAACTATTTTCACTGCCTTATTTTTTGTTTAAAGTTCTATAATATCTGGCAAAGATTAAAAGCCCTCCATTCCCGTCATCTGAACAAAATCGTCAAAGTTTCTGCGAGAGCAACTTGCCGTGTGTTGGTAGAACTAGCAAACGTGTCAGCCCGTAGTAACGACTTTAAACTAATTCATTCAATGTAATAGTTGGATTGTTAAAATACAAATACAATTTCCAGCGGTATTTATATATTTTCTTCTTGTTAGGTTTCCACATGGCTGAGGACGTACATCCCTCAGAGGATGTCACCTCATGGTCCAGCCCTACATCTGCATCGCCAAATAATCACAGCCTTACTGCAAAAGGCAGGAACCCCTTATAGTAGCCAGGACCTACGAAACATAATGGATAGCGTTGACGGTGGAAATGCAGATTTCCGTACAAAGCTTACCGGTGGAAAGAACCGGGTACCTTCCCTCAAAATACCACGGCAAAATATTTGTCAAGACCTCCTGAAAGAGATTGACGGCTGTAAGTATTACCAAGTAACTGGTTACAATTTCTTAGTGGAATTCAGTCCATCTTCCATGAATCTCCGTAACGTTGTTTTGAAATTTTGTAGGGTTTGGCGAAGGGTGCATAGAGGTTACAGAAGAAGAAAGCGAGATCTCGTTACTTCCAACTTGCACAAGTTGTGCAACATTACAGGACAGTCTCACACAACAAGGAGAGTCGTTTGAACGTGCAGAGAAGGAATATCTCACCAAAATTGCACGACTAAAAGAGGAATTGAAATCGGAGAGGAACTCAAATGAGATCCTGAAAGAACTATTCCATGCCATGAAGAGAAACCTTTCAGTGTCAAGGGCTCCTGAAGAATTACTGGCAGAGAAGGGAACTGGGGAAGCATTCATGATGGTATAGGTTTTCACTTCGTATCTTCTCCAGATATTCCATAGCATCCTCTTCTGACCCATAGAGACTCCCTTTCTGCTGTGTGAACACCC